TTTTGTTTTTGTTTTGTTTTTTTTGAGACTGAGTTTCCCTCGTTGTCACCCAGCAGTGGCACCGGCTGTTGGCTCACAGGCAACTTCCGTCCTCCTGCGCAGTTCAAGCGACTTCGCATGCCTCGTGATGTTGTTGCTATCCAAGTGTCTGGTTACAGGCCGGCAGCCACGCCACAACGCGGCTAAGTTTTGTAGGTTTTAGTAGAGACGTGGATTTCAGCCAGTGTTGGCTGGCTGTCTTGAACTCCCTGACCGTTCAAATGATTTTGCGCGCTTTTGGGCCTCCAGTATGCTACTGTGGATACGCAGGTAGAGTCCCACAGCCCCTCAGCTCCAGGGCTACCTGTGATTTGTGTTTGCCCCAACAAATGAAATTTATCCTTACAAATTGGTGTTCTAAATCTTTTTTTTTTTTTTTTTTGATACGGAGTCTTGCTCTGTCGCCCAGGCTGGAGTGCAGTGGCGCGATCTCAGCTAATTGCAAGCTCGGTTCCCAGGTTCACGCCATTCTCCTGCCTCAGCCTTCCGACTAGCTGGGACTACAGGTGCCCGCCGCCACGACCAGCTAATTTTTTGTATTTTTTAGTACAGACGGTGTTTCACCGTGTTAGTCAGGATGGTCTCCATCTCCCGACCTCGTGATCCGCCCGCCTTGGCCTCCCAAAGTGCTAGGATTACAGGCATGAGCCACCGCACCCGGCCTCGTGTTCTAAATTTCTTAAGAAGAACTTAATTTAAAAACTCATAACAAAAAAAAAAAGTCAAAAAATAACAGATGCTGATGAGGTTGCAGAGAAAAGGGAATATTTCTGCACTGTTGGTGGAGTGTAAATTAGTTCAACCATTGTGGAAAGCAGTATGGCAATTCCTCACAGGGCTAAAAGCAGAACTACCATTCGACCCAGCAATCCCATTACTGGGTATATACCCAGAGGAATATAAATTATTCTACCATAAAGACACATGCACACGAATGCTCATTGCAGCACTGTGCACAATAGCAAAGACATGGAATCAACATAAATGCCCATCAATGACAGACTGGATAAAGAAAATGTATGTATACACCATGGAATACTATGCAGCCATAAAAAAGAATGGGATCATGTCTTTTGCAGGTACATGGATGGAGCTGGAGGCTATTATCCTTAGCAAACTAATGCAGGAACAGAAAGCCAAATACTGCATGTTCTCACTTATAAGTAGAAGCTAAATGATGAGAACTAATTAACACGAAGAAGGAAACAACAGACACTGGGGCCTACCTGAGGGTGGAGGGTGGGAGAAGGGAGAGGAGCAGGAAAAATAACTATTGGGTACTAGGCTTAGTACCCAGGTGGCTAAATAATGTGTACAACAAACCCCTGTGACATGAGTTTACCTGTGTTACAAACCTGCACATGCACCCCTGAACCTAAAATAAAAGTTTAAATAAATAAATAAATAAGAAAAAACTATTATACTCATGACTCCTTTACCACTAATGAAATTTAAGGAGTTACAGGAATACAAATTTTCTAGTACTTACTTCATATGGCTTGCCTGTTCTCTTAAAACATCATCTAAGATGTTAAAAATAATTCAGTCACATTGATGGTCATCTACATATCTAACACCAAGAGCAGCCCAAAAACAGAATAATGATAATAAAAGGGATCTTAGCAATTAATCTAGCTTGATCTTTTTTAAGGAATAAAACTTATTCTGTATGTCCTTAACATTATAAGTTATTTTAAAATTCATCTCTCACGAATTGTAATAATTCTGGGGGGAGGCAAGCATGTGATAAATATTTTTATATTCCATTTGTTGATGGGGAAACTTATAAAGAGTAAAACAGCACAGTATAAAATACTTGCTATGAAAAATTAATTACAGCTAGGCTAAAGACTACTTGTATTATCTCAATTCTCACATCAATCTGAGGTAGGCGTTATTTTCTCCATTTACAAATGAGGAAACTGAGGCACAGAGAAGTTACATAACTTGCCAAGTTATGTAGCTAGTACACACAGAATCAAATCCAGGCTCATTGATTCTAGAGCCTGCACTCTTAACCTCTATATTATACTTTTCCTAATACCTAAAAAGGACAATTTTCTTAAATATCCATGAGTCTATAACTGACACAAATAAATGACGAAGAAATAAATAAATATGGGAAGATAGGACAGGTCTTCTTTACAGAAAATTCCAATTAATACATATTGAAGGAATGAAGAAAATAATCACCGTTAGTTAGACACCAATTGTTGCAGGCAAAGGCAAGAACCATCAATGGATTACAGCTAAAATTAGGAGGTAAAAATATGATGAGAAACAGAATATTTTCATAGCTTCAACACATCTCTCCACATGACATATGTTAATTACAAGGAGAAAAATAGTAATTTTACAGTGGAGAAAGCCCGCAGACACCATGTAAACCAAGTGATCAAAGTTAGTATCACCGATGATAATATATATCGACATTATGTATGCCATGATATTGAGAAGGCTACATCACTTTTTTGATATTTCTGCCAAAAATGCACAACCTCAATCTATTAATGAGAAAACATTAGATAAACCCATACTGAGGGATATTCTACGAAACAACTGACCAGTATGCTTAGAAAGTGTGATTTAGTTAATAGTATTTTACCAATGATAATTTCCTGGTTTTGGTCTTTGTACTATGGTTATATAAGAAGTTAATATTGAAGGAAGTTCGGTAAAGAGTATATGGGAACTCTATTTTTGCAACTTTTCTGTAAGTTTTAAATTTCAAAATAAGAAGTTGAAAAAGTAACAATTTTCTTAAAATCTATAATTCAAACCTTATTAATTTATCTTCCTCTTTATTCTCAGAGAGGCCAAATTAGTAAGTTCTCCATGAGTTGACTAGTGTCACTGGCAGAGGAGCTAAGAATAGTTCTCCATGGGTCAACTGTCTTCTCCATATGCTACCTGCTTCTATAATGAGATTGGATGATGACAATACACAATAATCTTGTATTTATGAGTAGTAAGAACAACTATTTCAAAATGAAAGGATTCAGTCTTTTCTCTTAGACGTCATGTTGATTAGTTTTTAATCATGAAGTAAAATTATTGCCCATGATTCTGAAGTTCTGCGTCTTGATACTCTAAGACATTATATACAGTGAAACAGCATTCAGTTAGGATTTGTCCAATAAAGTCCTTTTCATTATCATAATGTTTTAAACATGTAGACTCAGTAATCCTTACTCTAAGAAGGTAGATATATGACTGTGTTAAGGCAATAAGTATGAATAAACAGAAATGTGTAGCTAACATTACAGCTTAACTCAAAAGGTCTGAATCAAGCCTAAAACAGAAAAGTATGACAAGTGAAAGCACTGCCCAAATGCCCTTGGAGCATAATTACGAGCCCATTTTAAGGGGCAAATACTAATAGAATTGGATGAAGAATCGTGGGACAGAAGGTTTAGGGGTAAAGAATAGTATTAAAGCTCAACGGGAAGAGAACAAAAACTACTCAATCTCATTGTATTCTCTCAGCTCCCAATAATCTTGACCCTCTACTGCTTTGCTACTCAAAATGTGGTCCATGGAACACCAGCACCAACATCATCCTAAGCTAGTTAAAAACACAGGATATAGGCTTGTGCCTTTAATCCCAGCACTTTGGGAGGCCAAGGCGGGGCCTATCACTTGAGTCCAGGAGTTCGAGATCAGCCTGGGCAACATGGCAAAATCCTGTCTGTACAAAAGAATACAAAAATTAACTGGGCATGGTAGCACACCCCTGTAGTTACAGCTACTCAGGAGGTTGAGGTAGGAGGGTCACCTGAGGCCAGGAGGTTGAGGTTGCAGTAAGCTGAGTCATGATTGTGCCACTGCACTCCAACCTGGGTGACAGGTTGTTTATTTTTTGAGACTGGGTGACCCTGTCTCGAAAAATAAAAATAAGTAAATAAATTAAATAAATAAAAATACATGATATAATAAGACCTCATCCCAGATCCATTGACTAAAAAATCTGCATTTTAGCAAGATCCACATGTGATGAATCCCCAGGAGATTTGTATATGCACATTAAAGTTTGATCAACATTTCCCGAACACGTTGAGTTTTAAGGAAATAAACAATAAGATATGTCATACCACATTAATCTCCAAATTGGTGGTTTAAGTAACTTGGTATTTCATTAGACAGCCTTTCAATCTCACTTTAGAAGAGAAAAGCACAATAAAATATGCAGTATAAAAGGTATTTTAGGTATTCTTTATGTTTATCTGTTAGTGTCTAGTTAGGAAAAAATATTTCTTTTGCAATAAATTTTCTTATTTTATAATTTTCTTACAAAATGTATCAAATCTGTTTTTTAAAGTAAATATGTATTAGACATTTTTAAAGAATACTGACATATTAAGTACTGAATGCAAATACATACTTTCTTCCTTTTTTTTTTTTTTTTTTTTGAGACAGAGTCTTACTCTGTTGCCCAGGCTGGAGTACAGTGGTATGATCTCAGCTCACTGTAACCTCTGCCCCCCAGGTTCAAGCGATTCTCCTGCCTCAGCCTCCTGAGTAGCTGGGATTACAGGCCCCTGCCACTATGCCTGGCTAATTTTTGTAGTTTTTAGTAGAGACAGGGTTTCACCATCTTGGCCAGGCTGGTCTTGAACTCCTGACCTCATGATCCACCCACCTCTGCCTCCCAAAGTCCTGGGATTATAGGCATGAGCCACCATGCCCTGCCACTTTTCATATTCCTTCTTTTTTTTTTTTTTTTTTTCTTTGAGACAGAATTTCACTCCTGTTGCCCAGGCTGGAGTGCAATGGCGCGATCTCAGCTTACTGCATCCTCTTTCTCCCAGATTCAAGGAATTCTCCTGCCTCAGCCTCCCAAGTAGCTGGGATTCCAGGCATGCGCCACCATACCCGGCTAATTTTGTAATTTTAGTAGAGATGGGGTTTTACCATGTTGGTCAGGCTGGGTCTTGAACTCCCGACCTCAAGTGATCTGCCCGCCTCATCCTCTCAAAGTGATGGGATTACAGGCGTGAGCCATCATCATATTCTTTCTTTAATGCCCAGTCTAAGTAGGGAAGATAAACATTTACTAATATGTTCATTAAAATAAACATAAAACTCAGCTACTCTGGGCACACTGCCTATGGAGTAGCCTTGCTCTGCAAAGAGCGGGGGAAAAAAAGAAAAAATATTTAAAATTTTTTTAAAAACATAAACATAAAACTTAATAACAATGTAAATACAAAATATTCAGCTAAAAGTTGGAAGGGTTCAGACCAATATGAATTACACGATCCATTACATCTGTTTGCCATTGCAAAACAAACAAAAAAAACCCAGCAGTCTTTTGATTTAGTATACTTTTAGTCATTTCAACCATTTCATGAAATAGAAGATAGTTTAAAAGAGAAAAAAAATCAAGGGTAGAAGTAGGGCCATATGTTGTTACTTAATATTAGGATATAAAAGAGAAAATACAAGTAACATCAGTGTGACTCCTTCAGTGAGATTTCAACGCCTCATCTCACATATTTTTAGGCTATTAGGTGACATCTAGGGCTGAAGGATTTATTCACCAATCAGTATGTTAGGTGATGAACTGTGTCCCCCCAAAATTCCTGTGTTGAAGTCCTGACCTTCAGTATCTCAGTATGGGATTGCATTTGGAGAAAGGGTCTTTAAAGAGGTAATTAAGGTTAAATGAGGTCATTAGGGTGGGCCCTACTCTAATATGATTGGTGTCCTTATAAGAAGAGATTAGGACACAGACACCACATAGAGACCATGTGAAGACACAGGAGAAGACAGTCATCTACGAGAGACCTCAGAAGAAACCAACTTTTGACACTTGACCTTAGACGTCTAGCCACCAGAACTATTGAGGAAATAGGTTTCTATTGTTTAAGCTACTGAGTCTGGGGGTACTTCATTATTGCAGCCCTATCAAACTAATATAGCATCTGACATAGAAGATGTGTAATAGGTATTTACTGAAGGAATGAAGGTTACAGTTTATCCAGCAATTAATTCTGCCCAAAGCTGAGGCTGAAGGTTGACTTTCCACCAGTAAAGTCAGATTAAATATTTATTCTGCAGTAAGACAGGCAAAAAGCTATTATTAAATATGAGGAATATCCACATACCCTCCACCCATCTTAAGAAATGAAGCGGCTGGGCACGGGCTCACGCCTGTAATCACAGCACTTTGGGAGGCCGAGGCCGGCGGATTACGAGGTCAGGAGATGGAGACCATCCTGGCAAACACCGTGAAACCCTGTCTCTACTAAAAAAAAAAAAAAAAAAAAAAAATTAGCCAGGCGTGGTGGCGGGCGCTTGTAGTCCCAGCTACTCTGGAGGCTGAGGCAGGAGAATGGCATGAATCCGGGAGACGGAGCTTGCAATGAGCCAAGATTGCTCCACTGCACTCCAGCCTGGGCAACAGAGCGCGACTCCATCTCAAAAAAAAACAAAACAAAACAAACAAAGAAAAAGAAACGAAGCATCAGCATTATAGAAGTACCTGTGCTCTGGTTCCCAGTGGCATCCCTCTTGCTCCCATGCTAGAAATAACCACTAATTTAATTTGGTTATCATTCTGGATTTTTCTTTTTCTTTTCTTTTCTTTTTTTTTTCCAGACAGGGTCTTGCTGTCGCCCATGCTGGGGTGCAGTGGAACGATCATGGCTCACTGCAGCCTCAAGCTCATCGCACCCGGCTGATTTAAAAAAAAAAAAAAAAATTTTTGTTGCCCTGGCTGGTCTCAAACTTCCGGCCTCCAGCAATCCTCTCGCCTTGGCTTGCAAAGTGCTAGGATTACAGGCGTAAGCCACTGTGCCCAGTCACATGTAGCATTTCTTCATACACCTATCTATAGGTAGCCCTAAGCAATATAATATTATTTTTGCATGTTTTCAGACGTTATACAAATAATATCATACTCGACAAGGACTGTGTATGTTGTTTCTATACACCTACCATCTTTTTTAGATTCAACCATATGGATGCCCTTAACTCTGGTTTATTCATCTTAACTGCTAAATATGAATACAGTATTTTGTTATAAAATCATACCATGATTTATTTATTTATTCTTCTGTTGATGATCTTTTAGGTTGTTTTCAACTTTTTTGCTATTATCAGCAATACTGTTAAGAACATTCTTATATGTGTCTCACATATATGTGAGAGTTCTCTAGGGCAATGATTTCCAATTCCTTTCATGACCACACACAGGAAATCTTGGAAAAGCATATAGGTAAAAAAAGAAAAGGGGGGCTGTTCATAGCCAGCAGTGACCTGCCCGGGGCTCTGGCTGCCCCAAGACCTGCTTGGCTACTCCTAGCCTAATAACAAGTGTGGGGACAAGAGTGACTTTATTTTAAATGCTAATCTGCCATGTAACTTCTGACTAACCCCAAGTCTGGGAATGCCTCCAGAATGTCTAAATGATGTATTAGTCTTTATGCAAGAACCTCTATTCACTGTAAGTTTCCACCTAAACCACACTTGATGCTGTTGCAGAAATCATAGGCTGTGATGCCCATAGCCACCTACATACTCCTTCCAGAGCACATATACTTTCCCTAAGATATAAGCCCTGGGTCTGGGAGATTTCGATGCAGAGATCTACCTGTCATGCAGCTGTCCAGGACCACATTTCTGTCTGTAAATTCACCTAATAAATCACTCAAAGCTGACAAACTGGGTCTGTCTGCCTCCTTCTTTGCCTTCTCAGCTCCTTCAGCATTTGGGGGCCACTTTGCACATATGGCCCATTCACAGATTAAAGAAAGGAAGCTTCTTTGGGAGTTTCCATGGAAGCAAGAGTGATATATACCAAGTGGAAGAATTTTTGAGCACAAGAGTATGTATAGTACATCTTTAGCTTTTTAATGTCCACATTGCTCTCCAAAATGTTATATCAATTTTTACACTTCTACTACCAACATATGAAGTGTTTTTCTACATTTTCACCAACACTTGGTATTAGCAGACATTTTAATTTTTGGATATGAAACGGTAATTCCATTGTGACTTTAATTTGCAATTTTTAGATTACCATTAAGTATCTCTTCGCATTTACTAATAATTTATTTCATTTTCAGCAAATTCCCTTTTCTAATCTTTTGCCCAAGAAGTTATGTCTTACTCTGAGCAACTGTTCTTTTCTACCCATGTTAGTTAGGAATCTCTCTTAAACAAAAGCAGATTCTATTTTATATATCAGAGCAAGTTACAAAACTACCATAGTGCACAGTCTACATTTTGTAAGCTGCTAATCTATACAATGGTCTAGAACTGATTAAAAAGCGAAGGGAGAAACCTGATATACATTTTGTTTCTTTTTTTCTTTTCTTTTTTTTTTTTTTCTGAGACAGAGTTTCACTCTTGTCGCCCGGGCTGGACTGCAATGGCGCAATCTCAGCTCACTGCAACCTTCACCTCCTGGGTTCAAGCAATTCTCCTGCCTCAGCCTCCCAAGTAGCTGGGATTACAGGGGTGCACCACCACTCCCAGCTAATTGTGTATTTCTAGTAGAGATGGGTTTTACCATGTTGATCAGGCTGGTCTCAAACTCCTGACCTCAAGTGATACACCCATCTCAGCCTCCCAAAGTGCTGGGCTTACAGGCGTGACCACCAAGGGTGGCCCTGACTTATCTTTATAACAAGCTCAAATCACCAAAAATTTCACTCAGACTAGATCATTTCATCCTTGGGAATGCAAAGATCTTATTTAACTAAATTTTCAGTTACTCAGGTCTCTGAGAATATTACCTGTAGTTTCTGCAGATAGAAATGGTTCTAGGCCAGGCATAGTGGCTCATGCCTATAATCCCAGCACTTTGGGAGGCCAAGGCAAGCAGATCACTTGAGGCCAGGAGTTCGAGACCAGCCTGGCCAACATGGTGAAACGCTGTCTGTACTAAAAATACAAAAATTAGCCGGGTTTGGTGGCAGGCGCTTGTAGTGCCAGCTACTCAGGAGGCTGAGGCATGATAATCACTGGAACCGAGGCAGAGGTTGCAGTGAGCCGAGATGGCACCACTGCACTCCAGCCTGGGTGACAGAGCAAGACCCGGTCTCAAAGAAAAAAACGAGAAATGTTTCTTGCTGTGGAGTGGTTGTCATACAGAAATCCAGCTTCTTTGGTCATCTCAAAATGCTACAAATGGTGAACTTATTTGTAATCAAAAGTCTGAATTCAGGATCGTTATTTTAAAGGAGTCTGCACAGGATTTGATAGCCGGTTGGTAGTCATGCTACGAGCCAAGTCAGCTATAATATTCTCACTGTGGCTATTATCAATTTACCTACTCAGAAAGGTGAAATCACTGAAATTACTGAATGTGCAGACAGAACTCTTCATGCAGCTAATTTTTACTTAATGATTTAAAGCTATTACATGTTTTTGCTACCGTAAAGCTCAACACATCACAGTTAGTGAACTGTGATGAAAATTTAACAAATTCTGTTTGATTTGAGGCTGCATAGACACTAAGCCTCTGAAATCATTTGAAGCATATTTTTCTTAAGTTTTTTCTTCATAAAAATTGCACGTTTTACAAATTATGATGGAGTAGGTCAAATCTTCCCATTAGTATTTCTATTATTGTATAGTAATACAAGATCAAGTCTTAATGGAAATTATATTTAGAAACTATAGATTACATTTGCTGAAACTGATCTATGTTTACATTTTCTTGTCAATGGGAAATACATATAACCATAAGTGAAAAATAAACTAAAACATGTTTATCTTTTGATTTCTAATAATCAAAGCTGATATTTATTGAGCATTTACCATGCACCATGCACTGTGTAAAATACTTTTTTGCACATTATTTCATTTAATTGTCACAAATTCACGAGGTAGGTTATGTTATTACCATTTATCTGATGAGGAAATGGTTAGAGAGGTTAAGAACACTGCACAAATACTGGTTGTATGATACAAGCAATCCTTTCTTTCTTTCTTTTCTCTCTTTCTTTCTTTCTCTCTTTCTCTCTCTTTCTTTCTTTCTTTCTTTCTTTCAGGGTCCCACTCTGTTGCCCAGGCTGGAGTGCAGTAGCATGAACATGGCTCACTGCAGCCTCGACTTCCAGGGCTCAAGCAATCCTACTACCACGCATCTCGAGTAGCTAGGACCACAGATGCACCCACTATGCCTAGCTAATTTTTAAATTTTGTGTAGAGACAAGGTTTAGCTATGTTTCCCAGGTTGATCTCGAACTCCTGGGCTCAAGCAATCCTCCTGCCTTAGTCTCCCAAAGCGCTAGGATTACAGGCATGAACCACTGTGGCTGGCCAATACTGCCATTCTTTATGCAAATATTTTTTTCAATTGTTATCAAGTAGGAAATCTAATTAACTTCAGTTTCATTGAATTTCATCTTTACTTCCTTCCTATCCATGGCTTATGAGAGAAGTGTTAACATGAAGCAACAAGGATTATGGTAAATAGAGAATTAATAATCTAAAATAACTAAGAGTTGGCCATATTGTTATTATAATTATACTGAAGCTTATTTACATATTCTTTGTTTTGTGTTGAAGCCTTGAGTTCTGATGGGGGAAAATCATGATTTTGATTAAACACAAAATTGCTTCTCGCCTTTTGGCTAAGATCAAGTGTAGATTAAACACAAAATGGGTAGTTAAACCTCTAAATAGTACACACTTTGGAGAAAGCTGAAGTACATTTAATTATTTAAATCATTCCTGATTATTTAACTTACATATTTACAAACCGAAATAAAATGTGCAAATGTAAATAATGCTTTTTCTTTTCTTTTTTTTTTTTTGGAGACAGGGTCTCACTCTGTCACCCAAGCTGCAGTGCAGTGGCACACTGTAACCTCAACCTCCTGGATTCAGGTGATCCTCCCATCTCATCGTCCCAAGTAGCTGGGACTGCAGGCGCCGGCCACCATGCTCAACTAATGTTTTGCATTTTTTTGTACAGACAGGGTTTCATCATATTGCCTAGGCTGGTCTTGAACTTTTGGACTCAAGCGATTGGCCTCGCCTTGGCTTTCAAAGTGCTGGGATTACAGGAGTGAGCCACCTGCCTGACCAATACTGCATTTTTTGACTTCCTGTTTTCTATCCTTAAAGCTCTGATTTCTTGGACCCAGTGAAAACAAATTTTTCAAGTTGAAGATTTTAAGTTAATGTAATCATTCATATTTGAAGGATGTCATGATTTATTTTTTAATGTCTTTACTATTGAAAATATTTCTTGTTATTATAGTTTATTTATACTCTAAATTAAAAATAAGCAGGCACTTCATATTCTGGATTTGCTGTCACTTGCCTACAACAAAACAAGTAACTCTGGGTTTATACTGGATGAGTTACAAAGCAAGAGTTTGGATTTTATCATTGGTTTCAGTCCTAATTTTAGAGGTGTGGGGATACAAAAGAAGTTCTTAATTTGGAGACATTTAAAATGGCTTGTGTGGTTTTCTTCAGGAAGGAAGCATGCTGTCTAACTTCAGGACCATCACAGCACCCTTTAAATATGTAATAATTATTTTGTTCAAAATGTTTATGTTCCATATCTTATCACTCAATGTATAAAATATCACTGCCACTGACATCAATTACATTTTATGGAAAATGGAGTGAATTAGTAAGCTGTCAAGTAGGTATTTTCCTCCTCCCTCAAAAAGTTATGTGTCCAAGTGTAAATCATCAAAAGGATGCAGATTCTTTCCATATATTGCTTACAAATTGACTATTGTTTAAAAAGGCACAAATTTCAAAAAAATTAAAAAAAATAAATAAATAAAAAGGCACAAATTTCATAGACAAGTCTTTATCTCCTTCTTTCTTAAAAAAGCACAGAAAATGGGGGAAAAAGTCTTCTATACTGCAGTCTAAATTATAGGTAGGAAAAATAAAAACTAAGTGACATGGGAGATTGGAGGTGAATTTTCAAATATCAGTAATTTACAGGATTTACAGGATTTTCATTAGCATTGTTTCCACGTTTTCTGTAAGATATGAACATTTAAATTGATAAGAATGGAATGTTCATATAACATTAGTTTTTCTTACTTGTATCCATTTAAAGATTCACATTTTCACTTTAATATATAACTTAAGACTTTTCTTTCAAAACACATCTAAAAATTAGTAAAATGCCTAAATGGAAGCTTTATTTACTTGGTAGAAAAGCTGAAAAAAATAAAAACATATTCTTCACAATTTCAGAGGTGACAAAAATCTCTTATATTTCAGTAGTTTCTGATCTCCCTTAAGGGATTTGAAAATTGTATATGATGTTGCATAATCTTAAGAAGATTAACGTTAAAGTGCTACTGGTCTATTTCAATTGTGTACTTCTTACAATATAATGAAAGAATTTATTTGGTAATCCTGAATCTATTGACCTCACAAACACTGGTCATTATTTTGGTGAAAATATTCATAAGCATTTTTAGTTACTGATTTCTAACAGTTGTTTCTTATTATCTTCCTGATTTTACAATTCCCCAAAGTAAAGGTGCGAAAAACAAACATCTACCCTCCTTTTCGACAAATGCCATGATAGAGGGGAGACTTGTGTGGTGTAAACACAAATGTAGACATTTGGAAGTTGATGGTTTTAAGATTCAATAAAAACTTGAAGGTTTTGGCTTCAAATCCCCACGCTAGTTTGTTTTAGTTCTACCGGATACATGTCCCCTACCCATTTCAAAGGACCCAGTCAACTCCGCTCTTGCCTGCAGTTTCAGCGTCGCGGGTGGCCCGCGCCCCGCCGGAGTTGGAGCTGGCAGAGTCCGATTGCTCAGAGCGCCGAGCCGGGGGTGGGGCAGGGGTACGCTTGCAGGTCCGGTGGTCACGCGGGCTGAGAGCCCCCACGGCCGACCCGCGCTGCAGACCCTCCTGGAGAACCTCAGGCCTCTCCTCAAAAACATCCCTAAAACGCGTTCCCTTTGTTCATTCATTCATGTTCAATTTCATATGCCCCTCTGTCTTGGGAAAACCAATTAGGGCCTCTGCAGCCTCAACCCAGGGGCACTGTTCCCGCCTATTACTGACCCAGTGAAGCCGGGAAGACCAATCTCGACCACTGTTTCGCAGATACCGCGTGTGATTTATTAAATGCCGTCTCTCCGAGTCCCAAGTGGCCGGGAGCATTATGCCACCTCCCTTGCCCTCATCTCTCACTGCCATGCAAGAAAGCGTTAATGGCAAATAGGGACCACGGCCACGCTCCGTCGTTCCTGCTTCCAAGCAAACCTTGTGCCAGGTTCCTCATTTCGCGAGGCTCCACTCTCTTGGGCTTCAGGCTGCGGCTGGGCCTCCAGGACCAAAGGGCAATAGAGGTCTGAGAGTCCGGGCCTCAGGCATATGCAGGCCGCAGGTGGGAGGAGAATAGCGCCCGCGCGTGGCAACAGCCCAGGGCGTCTCAGCCGGATTTTTCCATCCCCGGGATAGGCTTGGTGCCCCGTACACTCCAGCGGAACTACAACTCCCAGCACCGTGGTTGCCCGGACTCCCGGAAGCCGGAGCCCGGCTGGGAGGAAGCAGCTGAGACCCCGCCAACAGACCGGGGGTTAATTTAGACAGAAAAGGGGGCGGGAAGGGCTGTGGGATACTTGTCAATTCGCCGCCATGAACGTGGTTTTTGCTGTGAAGCAGTACATTTCCAAAATGATAGAGGACAGCGGGCCTGGTATGAAAGTACTTCTCATGGATAAAGAGACGGTGAGTTTGCTTTTGCTCAGCATTTGTCAAGGAACCCTCTCAACCTTACAATAGCTGGTCCCATTCCACAGTAGGATTTAGCATTTAATTAAAGATATGAAAATAAGGGTCAGTTTGTGTGGAATTGAAAAGTTGTATAAAGCTTGCCCGGTGGGTTTTTCAGTCTAAATGGCTCCAGCCACTGCCCAGAGACTACTTCTACCCGAAACAATTTATTGGAATCAGAAATCTTTTAATAAATGTCTCTGCCAATAAATCATTAATATGTTAGAGCACTTGGAAGACTTTGGGATGGGCCTACTGTTTCCACTCAACATTGCGTTTTAAAAGTAAAGCTGTTGGAGCTCAAGCTGAACTGACAGGTTATTTGTTGGCCACAGACCAGAAAACAAAATTCTTTAAGGTGATAGAAAAAAATATTTTTGGAAATGTATGGATTGTTCCACTTCAAAGAGAGCATGTTTTTTCTTTGTTTTTTGTTTTTAACCTTGACACTTCAGCTGAAAGGAGAGAGCGTATTTTTCGTTCTTGTATGTTACCTACCTGTTTGGATGTTCAGTAAATGTTATTACGTATATTACTATTTAAGTTATCCAGCTAAGTATTAATGAAAAAAGAGGCTTAGATATGCTACTTGTTTTTATTATTCTAGACTAGCATACTTTTAGTTAATCCTTTGTTTTTACAGACTGGCATAGTGAGTATGGTATACACACAATCGGAGATTCTACAGAAAGAAGTGTACCTCTTTGAACGCATTGATTCTCAAAATCGAGAGATCATGAAACACCTGAAGGCAATTTGTTTTCTTCGACCTACAAAGGTACTGCATAAACTGAGTTTCCATCTGCCCAGGCAGATGCAGCACACTCTAATCTGAAAGCATTAAGAAGGCAAAATAAATTTGTATTTTCATAATTTGTGGCATCATAATTATCCTGGTTCATCAGTATTATAACCTTCATTTTTCTTGTTTTGTTTCCATATTTCAGTTGACCCCTTACAGCCAATTCTTCCTTCAAGATGTCTTTTAGGTTCACAGCTATTCCCATTGCCACTAATGAACTACTCTTAACAGAGACCCACATTACTTTATTCCTGGATTAACCTCCGTATCTGTCACATTGAACACCATCAACACTTAATTTCGTATACAGCTATGAGTGTCTTGAATCTTTACCACTTTATTCACATTTATGCTCAGAAACCTCTGGTGGTTTGATGTTATTTCCATGATTAAATCTATATTTAGCCCAGCAGTTAAAGCCCTCCTTTGTTGGTTTGATTTGCCCATATGTATCTAGCCTTCCTGTGTCCTAGGTCTGCTCCTCCTCTGTAGCCAGCTGGGCTACTGTTGGAATGAGCAATTTTACATGCTCATTCCTGTTCACTGTTTGGTTTTTTTTCTTCCACTAATTAAAAGTTATTTGGCCATTTGTCACTTTTTGTCCATCACCTTCTAAATCTAGCTTGAGTCTCTCCTTTAAAAATCCTTTCCTATTTTAATACTTTCTTTTTTTTTTTTTTTTTTTTTTTTGGAGTATCCCTGTGTTGCCCAGGCTGGAGTGCAGTGGCGCAATCTCAGGCCCACTGCAAGCTCCACCTCCCGGGTTCACGCTTCTCCTGCCTCAGCCTCCCGAGTAGCTGGGACTACGGGTGCCTGCCACCACGCCTGGCTAATTTTTTAGTATTTTTAGTAGAGATGGGGTTTCACTGTGTTAGCCAGGATAGTCTCGATCTCCTGACTTCATGATCCGCCCTCCTCGGCCTCCCAAAGTGCTGGGATTACAGGCGTGAGCCACCGCGCCTGGCTGTTATACTTTGTTGATTCATATTTATATTCTTCAACTCTAATGCACTTTATCATGCTTGTACATACGTACTTTCCAGAATGCAAATTTGATCATGGCACTCCTGCTTGAAATCCTTAAATGACTTCTCATTGCTTTTCTGATAAAGGCAAAAGTCCTTAATTGTAGCCTTCAAGGTGCAGCATGGTCTGGTTTCTACCATTTCTCCAGCCTCATTTCGAACCATTCCCCTTTTGCACTCTGCACCTTAATCACCTTAATCTTTCAATCCACTATATTCCCCTTGTTCTGTCATGCCACAGGACCTTTGCATAGGCTTCTTCTTCTGCCTGGAACTTCACTTCCTCAAGTAACCCTTCCCTGGTTTTGCTGACCAGGTCAAACCTGCCCCTTATGTGCATTTACAAAACCATCTTTATCTCCCTATTGCGTGTCATGGTTTGAACTTTTGTATGGTTTGGGTGATTACCAGCAGTAATCCATGAAAACAGATATGATATCTGTTTTTTCTCACCCTATATTCCCAATGCCTGTCACACAGTGGACACTCAATGAATAGTTGCTGAATTAATGAACACATGCTGTGTTATAATAGTTTCCAATTGTTTCATATTTGTAGCTCTTAGTCATGATATTTTGCTTCAAGAGGTACCTTAGAGATGATCTAGTTCATTATTTCCTAATTTTTTTATTAGAGAAACTCTTTGACTGCTATGTACTGTCTCTCAAACTCTTTTAAGAATCTTTCCTTTTGGCCGGGCATGGTGGCTCACACCTGTAATCCTAGCACTTTGGGAGGCCCAGGTGGGCAGATCACGCGGTCAGGAGATCAAGACCATCCTGGCCAACATGGTGAAACCCCGTCTCTACTGAAAATACACACACACACAAAAACAATTAGCCAGGCGTGGTGGCAGGCACCTGTAGTCCCAGCTACTAGGGAGGCTGAGGCAGGAGAATTGCTTGAACCAGGGAGTTGGAGGTTGCAGTGAGCTGAGATCACGCCACTGTAGTCCAGCCTGGCGGCAGAGCAAGACTCTGTCTCAAAAAATAATAATAATAATAATAATCTTTCCTTTTTCTTTTTATTATTTTGTATATTCTCTTTTGTCTTTTTCCACATTGTCTGAACTTTTAGGAATCTTTTAATTCAGTTTGTTATTTTTGCCTAGCATATTACGAGGAAGTAATTGAGGTTTAAAAGATATTTTAAATTTTTTTCTTAAGATTATATTATAAAGTTAATTTGAATGCATTTTTAAATCTAAATGACAATTTTTAAAACCTTTTCCCCATTAATAAGCAGTATACATTGCTTACATTTTTTTTTTAATTCTGTAAAGAATGGTGATTTTTAAAACAAATTACTAAATATGTTTAGGGAACAATTTATATTGAAATTTAACCAGGTATTATAGTATCAAAAATCAATAAAACCTGCATTATAATCTTATGTAATCGGAATTCTTATATTTTGACCATATAAAAATCAACTTTTTTGTTTTAAACTTTTATACTTTATTTTAAATTAATGTAATTATAGAAAGATCTTAGCCTACTACTTGCAGATACTTCACAAACATTGTAGTTGTGCAGAGTCTTACATCCCAATAAATTAAAAGCCAAAGTGAATATAATTAACTATATTTTCTCTTGAATGTTAATTTTTAAAGGAATAGACACATTTGATGTTCTAGGTAAGAATTTTGATCAGGCCAGGCGCAGTGGCTCACACCTGTAATCCTAGCACTTGGGAGGCCAAGCCAGTAGATCAGTTGAGGTCAGGAGTTCAAGACCAGCCTGGCCAACATGGTGAAACCCTGTGTCTACTAAAATTACAAAAAATTAGCTGGGTGTGGTGGCACAAACCTGTAATCCCAGCTACTTGGGAGGCTGAGACAGGAGAATTGCTTGAACCTGGAAGATGGAGGTTGCATTGAACCGAGACTGTGCCATTGCCCTCCAGCCTGGGCGACAGAGTGAGACCTCATCTCAAAAAAAAAAAAAAAAAAAAGAATTTTGAGCAAGTGAATACAATTTATAGACAAACAGCTCGATGTGAGTTTGCAGAATTATAATCAATTTTATGTTGTATTTCAACATCTGTGTCCTTTATATTCTTTATCTTAATTTGGCCAAAATGCAGTTGGTTAATATTTAATATTATACACATACTATTAAATAATATATGATTCCTGATCATTGTATTCATCTCTTTTGTCTCCAGCCCTTACCCACCAACATGTGCACAAAATTTATCTGTCTCCAGCCCTTATCCACCAACATATGCAACACTTAACCTAGACTTCAATATGCAGTAGATGCAGTAAATAAACAAATCAATGGGTAATGCTTATTACTTTTTTCCTTAAGCAACTCTCCTCATATTTTGTTCGCTTGTTCTTCATTTTCTAGGAGAATGTGGATTATATGATTCAGGAGCTCCGAAGACCCAAATACACTATATATTTCATTTGTAAGTATGTTAGTTCACTTTTTCAAACTCGTAACAATATCCCAGTTAGTGTGTTTCATTGAGCCCTTTATGTCACTAATAAGTTCATTGAATCTGTCACTATAAAGATCTCGTTTATTTAACGTCCTTCCAAAGTATTAAAAATCTGTTGACCTGCCGGGCATGGTGGCTCAAGCCTGTAATCCCAGCACTTTGGGAGGCCAGGTCAGGAGTTTGAGACCAGCCTGACCAACATGGTGAAACCCCATCTCTACTAAAAACACAAAATTAGCTGGGCATGGTGGCGCATGCCTATAATCCCAGCTACTTGGGAGGCTGAAGCAGGAGAATCGCTTGAACTGGAGAGGCGGAGATTGCAGTGAGCCGAGATTGTGCCATTGCACTCCAGCCTGGGCAACAAGAGCGAAACTCTGTCTCAAAAAAAAAAAAAAAAAAAAAAACTTTTGACCAATATTCTGTTTCAGAGGGCTAAATGTGATTTCCATTCATCTTTGATTACTTAAATTAAAAATTTTACGTTTTACTTTGCCTTTCAAGATGCTTTGTAAGTCAAAAGTTGTAAGTAGACAAATTTTACATCTCACCCCTGCCAAAAAAAAAAAAAGTATATACTTATCCCCATTTTACACTTAGGAATTGAGGCATGGAAGCTGATTTATTTTTTGAAGTGGGAAGGTAATACTTGAGTTTGTTGGAAAAGCAGAGATTTACTTTACATACCAGATAAAAGCCTTTCACTTCTCTTTGTTACTATATTTAATGCATTGAAAGTATAAATCATCAGGTAGTGATCTCTTATGTGCACAACTTTCTTGGGTTGGGGGTTAGGTAGGGGAGGTCTGGAAATAAACTAGGTTTGTATTTACTATACAATTTACATGGATTTTTTTGATCCAATACATTTGGCTGTGGAAGTTACATCCATTCTCCTCTAGATGTCATTATTGATCTTTATGTTAATAGTATTAGTGTAGTCTGTTTGGTAATATTTCCAAAACCAAGGACTAGATTTAACAGTAAGTAGGGCATTTGAGAAGTTTTAAAGCTTACTTAAAGGTATTAGAGTTTTAGGGTTTAGACTACAGTCTAAGACATATGTACTTTCTTCAGCGTATACTACTTAAATGGAATAATGATACAAAAAATTAACATTTGTGAAAAGACTATATATAAGAGCTCTCTCATATTTTATTTCATTCACTTCTGTGTAGAACTGAAAAGTTATATAAAGCTCGTCCAGTGGGTTTTCAGTGCACAACTCCCCAAGAGGTAAAAATAGGCAATTTTATTAATCTGTGGCATCTTAATTTTTGTTTGTTTTTGGCTAATAGTCACAGGTTTTCTTTTTAAAATTAAACTTTCTATTTTGAAGTAATTGTAGATTTGTGTGCAGCTGTAAAAAAACAAAAAAAAAAAAAAACACAAATGATCGCAGATACCCTTTACCCAGCTTCCCCCATGTAGTATCTTACATGACGATAGTACAATATCACAACCAAGATGTTAACACTGATACAGTCAGGATAGAGAACATTTTCATCTCTATAAGGATCCCTTATATTGCCCTTTTATTAGCTTATATGGACTTCTCTCCCACGCCAACCCCCTCATTAACCCTGGTAACCACTAATATTTTCTCCATTTTATATTTTATCATTCGAAGAATGTTCTATAAATGAAATCATACGGTATAAAACCTTTTGGGAATGACTTTTTTTACTCAGCATAATTCTCTGGAGAGTCATCCAGGCTGGTATGTGTGCGTGCGTGCGTGTGTGTGTGTGTGTGTGTGTGTTTGCTTTTTTGTTTTTTTGTCTGAGAAGGAGTCTTGCTTTGTCACCCAGGCTGGAGTGCAGTGTCGCCATCTCAACTCACTGCAACCTCCACCTCACGGGTTCAAGTGATTCTCCCACCTGAGCCTCCCGAGTAGCTAAGATTACAGGTGCACACCACCACGCTCAGCTAATTTTTGTATTTTTTTTAGTAGAGACAGGGTTTCACCATGTTCATTGGCCAGGCTGGTCTGAAACTCCTGACCTTGGGTGATCCACCTGCTTCAGCCTCCCAAAGTACTGGGATTACAGGCATGAGCCACCAGACCTCGCCTGTTGTGTGTATTAATAGTTCATTCCTCCTTTGAGCTGGAGTTGCAAAAAAAAATTTTTTTTTAATTTAAAAATAGTTCATTTCTTTTTATTGCTGAGTAGTATTCCATGGTATAAATGTACCACAGTTTGTTTAACTATACACCATTGAAGGACATATGACTTGTTTCTACTTTTGACTATTACAAATAAAGCTGCTATAAATATCTGTGTACAGATTTTTATGTGAAAGTTAAGCCTTCATTCTCTGGGATAAATAACCCCCAGGAGTGCAACTGCTGAGTCATATGGTAATTGCATATTTTCTGTATTAAGAAACTGCCAAATGTTTTCCTTAGTGTCTATACCATATTACATTTTCACTAGCAATGCATGGGTGAACCAGTTTCTTTGCATCCTTGGGAGCATTTGGTGTTGTCTCTATTTTGTATTTTAGCCATTTGCATAGGTGTGTAGTTATTCTGGTATTTTTTGTATGATCACAAGCTAGATCTCTGATATATTTGTGTGTATATATACACATACACATATACATATATAAATATATATAAATCACATATACATATGTAGGTATATATGTACATATATCCCCTGTGCTGCCAAGTTTAAGTAGACATATATAATAACAGAATTACTCTTTTGCTGAATCTCTTGGCTAAAAATTGAATTGGTCATGAGGTGAAAGACTCCTTTTTCCTCTAAACAGTTCTTTGTAGCAGTTGACATTAATAATGGTTAATCTAGTGTTTACTCTTCTGGTTCTAAAAATTGTTTGATTTGGACTGTAAATCTATGAAGCAGAAGAAAAAAATTATATTAGCACCACAGCCTATGAAAAGTAGACTTCAGATTTCTTGGATGGCATAATCAATTTCAGAATTTTATTTGATTGATGTAAACTAAAATGAATTTGTATGTAGTGATTTTATTCATTATTAACTTGCAGCACAATTTATATCAGTACTAAGCTAGCTTGTTCATCTCTCTTTTATACTTTTTTTTAATATTTTTATGTTACTAAATCTCTTGTGTAATAGGCCCCTCTCTTTATTTAAAAAAACGTTTTGTTACGGAACATTCATTCATTCATTCATTTATTTGAGATGGAGTCTCACTCTGTCGCCAGGCTGGAGTGCAGTGGCACAATCTCATCTCACTGCAACCTCCACCTCCTGGGTTCAAACGATCCTCCTGCCTCAGCCTCCCAAGTAGCTGGGATTACAGGCCCATGGCACCATGCCTAACTAATTTTTGTATTTTTAGGAGAGTCGTGATTTCACTGTGTTGGCTAAGCTGATCTCAAACTCCTGGCCTCAAGTGCGATCTGCCCACCGTTGCCTCCCAAAGTGAGGGGATTACACGTGTGAGCCACCGCACCGAACTTTTAAAGACATACAAAAGTAGAATAGTATCATAAGTCCCAATGTACCTATCAGCTGGTTTCAACAGTTATTGAGCCTCACCCAATCTTGTTTTAGCTATACTGTCACCTACTCCCCCACCAATATTATTTTAAAGCAAATCTAAGACATTATATAATTTTTTCCATAAGTATTTCAGTATGCATCTCTAAAAGATAAGGACTCATTTTTTAAAAAGCACGTTTCCATTATTACATGTAGATTAAAAATGAAAAATAATTATTTTTTTTCTTTTTTTTTTTGAGACAGAGTCTCCCTCTGTCACCCAGACAGAGTGCAGTGGCATGATCTCGGCTCACTGTAAACTCAACTTCCCAGGTTCAAGTGATGTTACCTAGGCTGGTCTTGAACTCTTAGTACTATTTTCAAATAACCATTCAGTGTTCAAATTTAAAATTGTCTCTTTTTTTTTTTTTTTTTTTTTTACAGTTTTTTAAAATCAGGATCAAAGTAAGGTTCACACATTGCTGTTGGTTGATTAAGTTTCTTAATCTTCTGTATAGGTCTTCCCACCCTGCGCCTGCTGCCCCATGCAATTTATTTATTGAAGAAACTGTTAAGTTTTCCATAGTCTGGATCTTGCTGATTGCATCCCCATGGGGTAGTTTAACATGTTCCTTGAAGTTTAAAATACTCCTCTATCTTCTGGTTCCTGTAAATTCATAGGTGAATACAGAGCCTTAATTAGGTTAAGATTCGGTTTCTTCTTGGCGAGAATACTTTATAGGTGGTATTGTGTACTTTCATTGGCTATTTATTCTTTTGATATTAGCAGCTGCTGATGCTCAATGCCTGGGTCCATTCAATTGATTCATTAGGGGTTAGAAAAAATGATGATATTCTAATTCTGTCATTAACATTCGTTAGTTATTGTTGAGCCGGAATATTTTCACAAAGAAAAATTTTCCCTCGTCTATTTGGTTACCTGGTAGTACAGTTTATATATAAAACACAGGATGAAAGTTTACTTCTTTCTCCTTATTCGCTATTTTCAATAAAATGACTTGGTTCCCTAGTGTTCTCATTCTCCAATCCCTCCGATGGTGGTTCTTTTTTTTTTTTTTTGAGACAGAGTCTCGCTCTGTCGCCCAGGCTGTAGTGCAGTGGCCTGATCTGGGCTCACTGCAAGCTCCACCTCCCGGATTCACACCATTCTCCTGCCTCAGCCTCCTGAATAGCTGGGGCTGCTACAGGTGCCCACCACCACACCCGGCTAATTTTTTTTTTTTTTATTTTTAGTAGAGACGGCGTTTCACCGTGTTAGCCAGGATGGTCTCCATTTCCTGACCTCATGATCCACCTGCCTCAGCCTCCAAAGTGCTGGGATTACAGGCGTGAGCCACTGTGCCCGCCGGGGGTCCTTTTAATATATATATATATAAAATTATGAATTTGTGGATTAAATATATTTGTGCTACCCATTCCAGTTTGAAGGTCACTTATTCATTAGGCTTTAACTATCAGGCCCTTTTACATATACTTGCAGCAGAAATTATCTCCTTTGAGTCAACCCCAACTCGTATGTTTCAGATTTCAGTAATGTGATCAGCAAGAGTGACGTGAAGTCATTGGCTGAAGCTGATGAACAGGAAGTTGTGGCTGAGGTTCAGGTAAACATATTGGTCCTGTAACACATCTCGTATGTTGGCCCTTTTTAAATATTTGAGTCTAAAAATAAAAAATAAGGAAAGGTCTGTCTCGAAGTTTTTTTATGAACACTTAAATATGTTTATCACATAAATGAGGAATATTGTTTTCAGAGGCAGCAGATAAACTAGTTTTGAATTTTTCAGAAGGATGTGATAGGTGATAAATGAATAAAAAGAATGACCTGTTTTAAATTATATTCTCTCTCATGACAACACATTGGACAGCAAAGTTCTTTTTTATCTGAGTAGAACATTATATCTCCTATTAGCAGTATGTTATTTTTACTAATTGATAAGTATGCATAGAGGTCTCCAGAAATATAATGTGTATACCTTTACAACTTTTATTTTTTAGATTTATTGTTATTGCTACTGTTTTGTAATTATTTTAATTCTCCCACGTTGACTGTTGTTACTCAATTATTAATTGAACAATTTTGTGTCTCTTTACACCTGTATTTCACCAAGTTTGGTTATATCATATTATATATCACATATGACAATATTACTGCTTGATACAATTGAAGTTTATGGAATGACTATTCTTGGTGCTTTATTTGCAGGAATTTTATGGTGATTACATTGCTGTGAACCCACATTTGTTTTCCCTCAATATTTTGGGTTGCTGTCAGGTATGGAAGGAAAGGTTTAGTTTATCAGTTGAGAGTTAATTCAGCAAATAATTAGACTTGTAAGAGAAATTTCAAATATTTTCTCTGAATATATGTTTTTAACAAAAAGGGTCGAAATTGGGATCCAGCCCAGCTATCTAGAACAACTCAAGGGCTTACAGCTCTCCTTTTATCTCTGAAGAAATGTCCCATGATTCGTTATCAGCTCTCATCAGAGGCAGCAAAGAGACTTGCAGAGTGTGTTAAGGTATGGCATTACCTATTCCTGGTTCCAAAACATAATGGCCATTCATTTCTCTATCATATTTCAAAAACTAAAGCAATATTTTATTTACAACCAAGGACATGATTGTATGTTAGGTTTCTTTTTTTTTTTTTTTTTTTTTTTTTTGAGACGGAGTCTCGCTCTGTCGCCCAGGCTGGAGTGCAGTGGCCGGATCTCAGCTCACTGCAAGCTCCACCTCCCGGGTTTACACTATTCTCCTGCCTCAGCCTCCTGAGTAGCTGGGACTACAGGCGCCGGCCACGTCGCCCGGCTAGTTTTTTGTATTTTTTTTAGTAGAGACGGGGTTTCACCAGGTTAGCCAGGATGGTCTCGATCTCCTGACCTCGTGATCCGCCCATCTCGGCCTCCCAAAGTGCTGGGATTACAGGCTTGAGCCACTGCACCCGGCCTTGTATGTTAGGTTTCTAAGCAAAGAGGTAGGTATATGTGATTTAAAACAAAAAGCAACATTTAGAGCTAAGATTCTTAGGTTTACCCCAAGAAACATACACAGGCTATTTAACTCTTTTTTGGTCCAGTTAAACCACTTATAAAATAGGGTTTCAAATTCTAACCTCTTAAATAGTATGCTACTAAACTTTGTGAGACTTTTGAATCCTTCATATGGAAGATCTATGCGGATGCAAAGAACTATTGTTAAATGTAGCGTTTATTAATTTCCTATTTATATCATCTCTGTGTGTAACTAGTTGGTTGCACAAACCATCTTTCTTTCTCACCCACAGCAAGTGATAACTAAAGAATATGAACTGTTTGAATTCCGTCGGACAGAGGTTCCTCCATTGCTCCTTATTTTAGATCGTTGTGATGATGCCATCACCCCATTGCTAAACCAGGTACAAAACCCTTTCTTGGCATAATAGGAGGATGATTTAAGTGATATTCATCAAAATACAGATATGGAAATAAAAGCATGGTCCACTTATTTGCCTCCTTATTTTTAGCTATTCTTGGTTTTGCTTTGCATTTTCCGGTGTTTTGGTATCATGATTCTTCCATCCACTGTCATCATTAACTCTTCTGCCTCATCCCTCCCATATCTTTCTGCCAGTACCTCCATGCCTAATCAAGACAGCTTCTTAATTCTGTAGATTCTATTTTCCAGTGTTTCCATCTGTCTCCTCATTTCCATTCTTACAGCTATTGCCTTGGTCTAGACCCTAATCTCTTGCAAGAATATTGAAATAGTCATCTACTTGATTCCCTACTTTTTATTTCTTCTTACTCTAAATGTTCCACAAATACAATGAAAACTTTTCCTAAAGCACAGCTCTATCTTACTACTCTTGGCTTAAAAACCTTCATTGGTTCCCATTTGCCTACTAGGTTAAAAAACTCCTGAACTTGGCATCCAAGAGCCTTCACAATGTGGGCTAAACCTCTTATGAAACCTAGAGCTCACTACTTACGTAGATAATGCCACATGGTTTCCTGCCAGCATGCTTTTACTGTGACTGCTTTCTAAACTCTAGAATGTTTGGAGTACCTTGTCTTCCCATCTTCACCTATCAAAATACTGCTGTTAAAACCACTCAATCTGGCCAGGCATGGTGGATCATTCCTGTAATTCCAGCACTTTGGGAGGCTAAGGTGGCTGGATCACCTGAGGTCAAGAGTTCAAGACCAGCCTGGCCAACGTGGTGAAGCCCTGTCTCTACTAAAACTACAAAAAAATTAGCTGGGTGTGGTTGCACACACCTGTAGTCCCAGCTACTTGGGAGGCTGAGGCAGGAGAATCGTTTGAACCCTGGAGGCGAAGGTTGCAGTAAGCTGAGATCATGCCACTGTACTCCAGCCTGGACAACAGAGCGAGACTCTGTCTCCAAAAATAAATAAATAAATAAATAAAATGATTTATATGAATAATAGCAAAGAATAAAAAAAAAAAAAAGAAGAAGAAGAACCGGGCACAGTGACTCACACCTGTAGTCCTAGCACTTTGGGAGGCCGAGGTAGGTAGATCACCTGAGGTCAGGAGTTCGAGACCAGCCTGTCCAACATGATGAAACCCTGTCTCTACTAAAAATAGAAAAAAATTAGCCGGACATGGTAGCAGGCGCCTGTAATCCCAGCTACTTGGGATGCTGAAGCAGGAGAATCACTTGAACCTGGGAGGCAGAGGTTGCAGTGAGCCGAGATCACACCACTGTCCTCCAGCCTGGGCAACAAGAGCGAAACTCTTGTCTCAAAAAAAACACTCAAAAGCCATCTCCAACATCCAGCCATTCTTCAACATCTCCTTGAAGCCTGTATTCTTTCAGTCAGATATTGTTCTTACCTCCTGAAAATTCCTATAGACCTGTAGACCTTTGTGTCTCTCTCATGTCTCATGCTGTACTTGCCATGTTGTAGCTTTGGTTGTTTACACCGTCTCCTACGTTACATATTTCTTCAAGGCAGACTGTTTATTTTTTCTCCTGCAAGCATAAGAACAGTGCACATAGCAGGTGCTCTATCAATAGTGATTTTATATGTATGTATGTATTTATTTATTGAGACAGAGTCTCTCTCTGTCACCCACGTTGGCGTGATCTCAACTCACTGCAACCTCCACTTCCCAGATTCAAGCAATTCTCATGCCCCAGTCTCCTGAGTAGTTGGGATTACAGGCGTGCACCATCATACCTGGCTAATTTTTGTATTAAGTATTTTTAGTACAGACAGGGTTTCGCCATATTGGCCAGGCTGGTCTCAAATTCCTGACTTCAAGTGATCTGCCCGACTCAGCCTCCCAAAGTGCCAAGATGACAGGTGTGAGCCACCGCGCCTGGCTGTGACTTTGTATTTATAGAGAAAGGCACAATCTATGTTTCAGTTTCTTCCCAGCTTATATGCTAAGGGAAATCTGTGGAGTGAAACTTCTCTGTAGTATAACATAACCTTATATTCCTAAATTCAGAGTAATATATGTTCACCAAAGAAACTTTTGATAATATCAAAAAGTGGAAAGAAAATTAATTGCCTATTATTCTGTCTTGCAAAGAAAAGCAACTATTTATCCCACAGATTTCACTGGGGACTTGTTTTGTGCCACGTACTAAACTAAATACTAGAGATAAAAGGTTAAAAATTGTAATTTCTGCCCTCAAAGAGCCCATGGTGCAATGATGAGAGAAATAAACATAATTTTAATTATAGAGTAAATGCTAGAAGCATGCACAAGAAGCTATCTGTAAAAACATAAAACATTTTGTTGTACTTTTTTTTTGTTTGTTTGAGACAGAGTTTTGCTCTTATTGCCCAGGCTGGAGTGCAATGGTGGGATCTCGGCTCACTGCAACCTCTGCCTCCCGGGTGCAAGCGATTCCCTGCCTCAGCCTCCCGAGTAGATGGGATTACAGGAATGCGCCACCATGCTCGGCTAATTTTGTATTTTTAGTACAGATGGGATTTCACCATGTTGGTCAGGCCGGTCTCGAACTCCTGACCTCAAGTGATCCACCCACCTCGGCCTCCCAAAATGCTGGGATTACAGCCATGAGCCACCATGCCCAGCCTTGTATTTATTTTAAGTGCTCTAATGGAACTTGCTTTTTCAGGAATTCCTTTGGCAAATCTTTTAGGAAATAAGCACCTTCTTTTATGACCTTCTAAATTATTTGTTAATAAATCTAATTTTCTTAAGATAAAATATGTATATAAACATTTCTAGCATTTAGATTCTAGATGCAGAAGGGAACGTGCTAGAAAATACTTCATTTTGTCTAACAGACCTATGACTGAAAGTAATCTATTCTCCATAAATGGTGAAAAGGGAAAATTTGGAGATTTCTCATTTCCAGTTTTACCAAATAAATTCACATTTTGTGAGACTGGAAACCAGTCCTTCCTCACAACTCCCATTAGGTAAAAATATAAAATAAAATGGATTCAGAGGTAAGTTTCTGAATCTCCCAGTGTTTTGATCAACTCACAAGGTTTTTCTGATAATATTAGTGTTCCCAGGATAAATATAGTACCACTCAAATCTGCAAGAACACACTTCTCATGCTGCAGAAAACCACAGAAGCATACAGGAAATGGTACAGCTTGTAACTGCAGTACCAATATAGCTCTATCTGTGAAGCCAAAAATATACCCTTAATTCACAGGCAAAAAATTGGAGCTAATGATAGCTCTAATTTGTTGTCTTTCTATTAAGAATATTAATCTTGCTGCCCTTTTTCCAAAAATGTGAAATCTAAAAGTATTTTGACTTTTTTTCAGTGTTTAATCAATTAAAATGACAATCTTAATGCTTATGATAGCACAAATTATTAGTAAAATTTAACTAGAGAATCTTCATGTAAAGAAGACTAAAGAATGTTATCAGTTTTTGTTTTCTTGAATGTTTACTATTTCCATATTTTGTCAGTTACCTTTTTTTTTCATAATTCTTTATTTAGTGGACATATCAGGCTATGGTCCATGAACTACTAGGCATAAACAACAATCGGATTGATCTTTCCAGAGTGCCGGGGATCAGTAAAGACTTAAGAGAGGTGGTCCTATCTGCTGAAAATGATGAATTCTATGCTAATGTAGGTGGTTTAAATTTTTTTTAATTGTCTTTAGTTGTTTTTATGTAAGAAGATCAATATTGGCTTGTTAGTATGGGGGCAGACATGGGATTTCATGTGAAAGGATGATAGAGGCATCCTGTGCATAAACTGCCTCTCAAGGGAAGGCAGAAGATTTGGATTCTGACCCTTTAGCAGTATTTTTTTCATAGAGATCACGTAGTTATTTACTTCTCTCCCCTCCAGTAGCTGTTTGTGAGAATAGTAATGCTATTCATCACCAGTGTCCCAGCTAATGTCCAAATTTGGTAATTAAAATGAAATTTCCCTGCCCTTCAATTCTGCGTTCCGAATTCTTTCTCACTTCTTTTAAATTTTCTGAAAGTCAGACTAGTTGATGATGTGCTTCCACCTTTCTTTTTCACAGAATATGTACCTGAACTTTGCTGAGATTGGTAGCAATATAAAGAATCTCATGGAAGATTTTCAGAAGAAGAAACCAAAAGAACAGCAAAAACTAGAATCAATAGCAGACATGAAGGTAAATTGAGCACGTACATGAATGACTAACATGTGAGAGTTTGGAACTATTCATGTAAGCAACACTTTTGGAATCTTCTGGGTCTGATTTCTACCTTGATTGATTTTATTTGGTTTGAGGCTTATTTTCTGTAATGTCTTTAAACAATATAGCGAAAAATTCATAATAAACCATGTGCTTCTTTCCATTCTTCAGTAATATCTGGACTATTTAAAGACTCAATCTATTGCCAGGCACAGTGGCTCACGCCTGTAATCCCAGCACTTTGGGAGGCCAAGGTGGGCGGATCACCCGAGGTCAGGAGTTCGAGACCAGCCTGACCAACATGGTGAAACCCCATCTCTACTAAAAATACAAAATTAGCCGGGTATGGTGGCACATGCCTGTCATCCCATCTACTCAGGAGGCTGAGACAGGGGAATCGCTTGAACCTGGGAAGCAGAGGTTGGGAGGTTGCAGTGAGCCGAAATCACGCCAGTGCACTCTAGCCTGGGCAACAAGAGCGAAACTCTATCTCAAAAAAAAAAAAAAACAACAGTCTACCAACATATACCAGTTCTTCTCTTCTTAAGCATAACAAAATGCCATGTGGCTGAAAGTTGTAGATGCTTTAATCAGGGCTGAAAAACATCCCCTGCTTTCCCTACCCCCCCATTCAATACATGCTTATCCTTGGTCAAAAAATAACAGAACCTCTCATTGATGTTTTTCCCATGGCAGGCCTTTGTTGAGAATTATCCGCAGTTCAAGAAAATGTCTGGGACTGTTTCAAAGCATGTGACAGTGGTTGGAGAATTGTCTCGATTGGTCAGTGAGCGGAATCTGCTGGAGGTTTCAGAGGTTGAGCAAGAACTGGCCTGTCAAAATGACCATTCTAGTGCTCTCCAGGTCAGTCCAATTTGATGAGCACCTACTATGTGTAAGGCACTGTGCCAGGCAGAGCAAGAGATAAAAAGGCAAGTAATCCTTCTTCGCCAACATGGAATTTAGTCCGACAAGGAGCTGAGATGAGAACACAAATTGATATTGTTTAAGATAGATCTATAAAAAGAGACACAAGAGAAGTGTAATGTGCAATTCTTAAGCGTTCAGTTAATTAGTATGAGGGCAGCCTAGTCTACTAGAAAGAGCACTAAACTAGAATCAGAAGATCTGGATTGGAGTGTTTGGTATACCACTTACAGGCTTTGTGACGTGGAGTTGTTGACTTAATCTCTGAGCCAGTTTCATTATTCGTAAAATAGGTATATTAATACTCATCTTACAGAGTGGTTAGGAAGACTTTAAAAGATAAAACACGTATTAAAATGTATTATCTAAGTTTTTTCATTATTGAAGTCTGCTTTTCATCGCACCAACATGTTGATGCCTGCTATATGTACATACTACTGCTGTGAGGATCTAGGAATACAAAGATGAATAAGATACCACATTATAGTCGGGAAGAAAGAAATTTAAACCAGCAATTGTAACACCATGCACTATGTGCTATATTAGAGGTATTTACAAAGGAATATGGAAATACAGAGGAAGGACAACTGTTTTCCCAAAGGATGAGGCTTCTTAGCACTTCTTAGGGAAAATAACATCAAACAGGGAAAAGGAAGAAACATTCTCAGCAGAGAGAATGCAGGCATGAAGATGTGAAGAAATAAATATTGATATATATATTTTTTTCTTTCTATATATAAATTATTTATATTTGAAATATACATATATTTAAATATATATATGGGAACAGAGAATAGTTCAGTGTGGCTAGTACAGGATACAAGATGAGTGGTCTTAGACTAGAAAGACTGACTGAAGCCAGGTTATGGCCATTGGAAGAAAGTTGGGCTTTAATCTTAAAATGATGGGGCCTCCCAGAGGATTTTAGAATAGCAATATAATCAGACTCTGGCCTCAAGAAATGTATAGTCTAGTTGAAGACACAAAACTAAAGCACAAGAAAAAATTCGATAATGTTTCAAGATGATAATTAAGTCGTAATTGTAATACTGACTGTAACAGGTTTTGAGGTTATTAGGAACAGTTTCTTAGAGAAGGCAAGATTAGGATGGACCACAAAGAATGAATAGAATTTGGGGGAGGAGTTCAGTCAGGAACAGCAAAAGCAAAGATGTAGAAGTATGCAGGAAGTAATAAACAGTTTGACCTGTAGAGAGTGAGTATGAAACAGAATTAGATAAAATTGAATTGGTAAACAAAAAACAGTTTACAAGCTTTATGAAGAGGCTTGTAAGAATTTATACCTGCTGGGATAGGCAAAGAGATCCAGTATAGGATCTTATGTAGAAAGTTGAGGTGGTGAAGGCAGTATTTTAGGAAATGTAACCTAGTAAGGATGCTTTAGAGGTGAAAAAACAGGTCAGAGAGACTTGTAGACTTACAGTGATAGTAGCAAAAATGTACAGCAAGGGGCAGAACTGAAAATTTCAAAGGGAGAAGAAATTAAATGACAGGCTGGATATAAAGATAGAATAAATCAGAGGTAATTCCATGATTCCTGAGAAATGACAAAGTATGATGTCACTGACAAGTAATTTAGGAATACGAGTCCTTTAGGAAATAGCCATTTCTAAGCCACTTACAAGAAGCACATTTCCCTGTTAATAGGACCCCATATTCTAAAGCTTAGCTTCTTTCTTTCCCAGCTACAGTTCCACTTTATTCTATAAGATAATGCCAACCTGGTATATTGGAAACAACTCAGGTTTTGGACCCAGACTGGCCTGACTTATATCCTACCTCTCCTTACCAAAGTTTCTTTGGGAAAATTACTTAATTTGCCCAAGTCTTGGGGATAATGATTTCAAACTTTCCGACTGTTATGATGATTCAATGAGATATGTAAAATGCTTCACATTTAATAGGTGTTTTGTAAATATTGGTTCCCTTCCTCTAAGCATGATTTTTTTTTTTTTTTACACATAGTGCAACCAAAAGAAAAAAGTCTACCTGTGGGTGCTCTAGTTATACCAGGGTCTTTACTGGGATTTATTGTTGTTGGGTTTTGGATCAGAACCTAAAGTCGCATTCTTTTTAATCACTAAATAGTATCCTTTGTAAAGATGTATCCTAATGTATTTAACATGGCCTTTAAACAACACTACTAATAATATTTTATAGTTGTTTTGTGGGCCTAATAGAAATGTCCTGATATTTATCACAAAAAAAATGAGTTTTCTGCCTCATATTAAATAAAAAACAAAATTGTGTCCCATAACTACATTTTAATTTCTTATATTTGTTTATCATTTGATTTTTCCCTTGGAAACAGTAGAACCAGACTTAATCACTAACCAGTTTTACTGTCTTTATTTGTATCTCTCTACATATGGAAAGCAATTAGAAAAAGTTATTGTAATAACTTGTCTGAAACTTTATTTTTATGTTCACTTCAAAAGAAAAATAGTCACTTTAAAAATATAAATTATATTTGTGATCCACTTTTTATTTTTAAAACTTATCTTTTGAAGGTTTTCTTGTCTAGGGTATTGGGATTTTACAGTGAGTAGTTGATTTGGAGTCCCCCCATCATAAAGGACTTCTTTGGCAACACAACTTAAATAGTCTATAAAGGAATCTTTTGTTTGATAGTAAGTGGATGTCAGGGGCCTGACTTCTAGAGGGGTTATAGCATTCCTTGGCTTGACCTTAGATGATAATACATCATGAAGCAGTGAAATGAGGTTTGTGAGTAGAGATGGGATTTGCTTTATTGAATAGTAAGTATCATGACAAGAAAAAAAAGTTCACATATTGCTAAAAGTTAACTTAAAAATTGCTGCCATTCTAACCATTATTTTGTAGGCTAATGAAAATTTCATTTAGAAAGAATTTCACTAGAACCAAAGTGAAATTTACTACCACTGAAACATATACATATCCTTAGAAGAGATTTATTTGATTAGTAATGAAGATTTGCCATACCATGAAGAAAAGGCATCTTTAGAAAGTGAGCAATTCCACCCTCACCATCTTCCCCATACCCTGCCCCCAATGCCCAGTCTGTGTTGTCATATCACAGCTTTTCATATGGAGAGAGGAACCAGTCTATTTTATATCTTTTCCTGACCTTGTGTAAAGATCTCAAATCATCCTATTAATGATACTTAATAAGGACTCAATCAATATTTATTAGAAAAATGAGGAGTAAGAGCTCTATTTGAAGCAGTATAGAGTAGTGGCTAAGAACTTGGACCTTTGGTGGCTTGGGTTTGAAAATAATTCCTAACCACTCTAAGCCTCAGTCTTACCTCAAAATTGTTGTGAGAGTGCAATGAGCTAATACATGTAAAACGCTTATGGTACTTGGTACTTACAGCTTTCAAGAAACATTAACTACCAACATTACGAGTGTTATTATTTGATGATACATTTAATTTTCTTAACGGCATCCAAGACTTGTTTTTTAGTTCATTGATAGCCTCGTATCTCTCTGATTTCCTAAAAGTGTTTTTTTGTTTTTGTTTTTGCCACTCATTAAAATTATAAGAAAAGTGGTTGGGACACATTGAACTGACTGGCAGTTTTACTTTGATTAATTAAATGTAAAAATGATCCTTTTACTCTAAAACAACATTTAGCCAGTATTTTAGAAACAGTGTTGATCAGCGGAAGATCTACTGCAAAGCTAAATTTTATGTTGACTAGTCATTAAGAAAAGGAATACTGACTCAGATGTATTTACCAGTCAGTAGAATTGGGTCTTGTCTGCTTTCTATCATTTTTCCCAGATAAGCTTTTTATATTCACACAACACTGTTCTCTCAGACTGTTAGGCTCATTTTTATCAGATCAGCATGTAGAAGACTTCTGCCAATTCCATCTTACTGTCCTAATCTGTTGGTTTATTTTGTTATATTCTGACTTTACTACATTAGTATAGTAGATAACAAAGAAGGGATCCTGTTCTTTAGGTTAAACTAAAACAAAAAAAAATGGAGACTATCTTTAATTACCAAGACCATCTGTAATCTGTATAATAGTTTAAAATATGTGTATGTCATAATGATTTCTTCTTGCTCTGCTGCTTCATCATAGTTTTGATAGAAGAAAACAGAAAAGTAGAAAAGCGTTCAGCCAGAAACAATGGAAGAATCTCTAAATATCAGAAAAGAAGAATGGTTTTCTCACTGATATCTTATAAATGAATGTTAGTTCCTTTAGGAAACTTGATCTCCAAAGACACTATTTTTGCTTTTCTTTTCCTTTTCTTTTCCTATTCCTTGATTAGGCCCACACAAATGTTAGAGTTCAGCGCAAGGTTTTTGAATCCTGTCTTCTTAAGTAGATGACAGTTTTCTGTTTTGCTCTTTACTCAGTCATTGTTATAATATGACAGTGTCGTTTTCTAATAGTCACAAGGCTATTATGTAATTCAGTTATTTTCCAACAGATAAATACTACCGTATAGCATATACCTGCTTTGTAATTATAAGCCTCTCTGATTCTTTTTTCTCCTCTTCTCTGGTTAGTGCCCTGAAATCTCAGTGTAACGTAGGACACTATCAATCAAATTGATAAGTAGCTATGAGGGAAATCCTTCAAAATGAAGCCAAAAGATAAAGTGGGATCAAGGCAGACAAAAAGGTCCTGCTTCTCCAAGGACTGATACAGCTGAAAGAAAAGAAAGAACTCAGCTTGTACCTACAGGTTTCTTTTCTTTTTTTTTTTTTTTTTGAGACGAAGTCTTGCTCTGCCACCCAGGCTGGAGTGCAGTGGCCGGATCTCAGCTCACTGCAAGCTCCGCCTCCCGGGTTCACGCCATTCTCCTGCCTCAGCCTCCCGAGTAGCTGGGACTACAGGCGCCCGCCACCTCGCCCGGCTAGTTTTTTGTATTTTTTAGTAGAGACAAGTTTCACCGTGTCAGCCAGGATGTTCTCGATCTCCTGACCTCGTGATCCGCCCGTCTCGGCCTCCCAAAGTGCTGGGATTACAGGCTTGAGCCACCGCGCCCGGCCTCCTACAGGTTTCTTTTCATGAGAGAATAGATACCTCTAGCTAGAACATGGACCTGAGCCATGAGTTGGGTCCTAAGGGCTCAAAAGTAGGCAAAATAGTTACTCAAAGTAGGTCTGGTCAGATCTGGGCCAAGTCCTCAATGGAGAACTAAGAGTTAAGCCAAGCAATCTGAATACCAGTACCAAGTCTCAAGGAATAGAAGTGGATTTTATTTATGATTGATGCATAATGATTGTACAGATTTATGGAATACAATGTGATGTTTCAATACATGTATACATTGTGTAATGATCAAATCAGGGTAATTAGCATATCCCTCACCTTAAACATTGGTCGTTTCTTTGCGATAAGAACATTTAAAAACTTCTCTTCTAGCTATTTTGACATATGTAATACATTACTTTTAACTCTATTCATCCTACTATGCAGTAGAACACCAGAACATATTCCTGCTCTCTAACTGTAGCTTTGTACCTATTAACCAATTTCTAACCACCCCTATCCTTCACCATCCCATCCTCTGGTAACTGCTATTATGCTCTCTACTTCTATGAGTTCTATGAGAACAACTTTTTACTCTCATGTGAGTAAGATCATGCACTATTTTTCCTTCTGTGTCAGGCTTATTTCACTGAATATAAGTCCTCCAGGTTAATCTGTTTTGCCACAAATGACAGAATTTCATTCTATTTCATGGCTGAGTAGTAAATATTTCATTATATATGTATATATGTATGCTGCATTTTCTTTTCCTTCTTCTCTTTTTTTTCTTTTTGTTGAGACAGGGTCTGGCTCTATCACCCAAGCTAGAGTGCAGTGGTGCAATCTTGGCTTACTGCAATTTCTGCCTCCCAGGCTCAAGCTACTCTCCCACCTCATCCTCCCCAGTAGCTGGGACTACAGGCATGCACCACCATGCCCAGCTAATTTTTGTATTTTTGTAGAGACAGAATTTCACCATGTTGCCCAGGCTGGTCCCCAGCTCCTGAGCTCAAGCAGTCCGCCTGCATCGGCCTCCCAAAGTGCTGGGATTACAGACCTGAGCCACCATGCCTGACCTAAATACTGCATTTTCTTGATCCATTCATCTGTTGATGGACATTTAGGTTGATTTCATATCTTGGCTATTTTGAATAGTGCTGCAGTAAACATAGGAATGCAGATATCTCTTCAACATACTGATTTCATGTCCTTTGGATATATTCCAAGTAGTTGGATTGCTAAATCATATAGTAGTTCTATTTTTAATTTTTTAAGGAACCTTCATACTGTTTTCCATAATGGCTGTACTAATTTACATTCACCAGTTGTGTGTAAGGGTTCTTATTTCTCCACGTTATCACCAACACTTATCTCTAATAAGAAACAGCCAAGAGTCAAGATCTACGTGAAGGTAACTAGAAAAGGACAGAGACTGATTACTGCAAATAGTCTTTGACTGTCATCATACCAGTTTTGTGAATTTATAGTTACTTGGGTTTCTCAGATTTGCTTAAAAGTACAGAGACAGATCAGCCAGAAAAGGTGGTAGGAGAGTGACTGCAAGGGCAGGAAATGAGACATTGTGCCTATAAGAAAAGTAACAACAGAAATCCCCAGTGGGATTTCTTTTCTTTTTAAAAAATTTTTTAAATGTTTTATTTATTTATTTTTTTGAGACGGTTTCATTCTGTCGCCCAGGCTGGAGTACAGTGGCACGTAATCTTGGCTCACTGCAACCTCCGCCTCCCAGGTTCAATCTATTCTCCTGCCTCAGCCTCTTGAGTAGCTGAGACTACAGGTGCCCGCCACCACACCCTGCTAATTTTTTGTATTTTTAGTAGAGACAGAGTTTCACCATGTTGTCCAGGCTGGTCTCGAACTCCTGACCTCAAGTGATCCACCCACCTCGGCCTCCCAAACTGTTGGGATTACAGGCGTGAGCCACCACGCCCGGTCCCCAACGAGATTTCTTAATGTTTTAAACTTATGCTGTTGATTGAGATACATACATAATTTGTACCTGAAATTTCTTCATATTATAGTAGAAAATAGTGGAACATTTGAGCAGGTACCCTAAATGGGCTGTATTCCATGGCTGCTCTAGGGGGGAAGATACCATGAAGGGAAAAAAATAAGAAAAATCTTACAAATTTGGGATCAAAATCTACAGAAGTTTCTCCCTTTTTGATCCCTTAAGGATGATGGTAGTGAAATAGTAACCCAAAAAATCAACAATAGAAATATCTCTCATAGAACTCTGTACTTGAAAGCTACATGGGAGGTTCCCCATTATCATCATAGTCCCTAGTCAGTGTGAACAGAAGAGCTCTTAGACATTGGACATGGTTGTTGTCAGGTACAAAAGAGATAATGTATGTGAAAACATTTTGTAAGTTGTAATCATATAGTTGATAATTATGTCCTCAGAATTCAGTGCCCTTTAAGGCTCTTGCCAGCCTTTCAACCCAAGCCATTTCTTCCTCTGATTTCCATATTTATTTTGATAGTGCCACTGTTTTTAGTCTCTCACACTGGTTCCAATACTTACTGATTCTTCAGGACCTTTGGCAATTGTCACCTCCTTTATGAAGTCTTTCCTAATTTCTCAACAACCCAGTATATTTTCTCTTCCCCTTTCTCTCCCCTTCCTCTTTTGCACTGATTTTCAGCTTTTGCTTTTTGTTTTCTTTTGTTTTTTTACATACATATGTTTCTATTATAACACCACATATTTGTTCCTGAAAAACCTCACATTCTATAAAAAAAAGCACTAAAAAAAGGGTTATGAGAATATAGGGTTATAAGCAGACCACTTAAAATCTACATGACTATAAAAAGAAATAAAAAATTCATATAATTTTTTAATCAGAGCCCTAATAAAAATAGTAACAATTATAATAAAAATACTAGCATGGTTAAATCTCCACTGGCATTTGCACCTAGAAATAGAGCCAGTCCATCCTCTGCAGCCTTATTCCTGGGTCTCATGTTTTCTTCAAATTATAAGGTCTTGAAAATACTCACTTCTCATAAAGACTACTTTGTCAAAATTAAAAATACCATATGGAGATAGCTTTCTTCATCAATCAGTGTTTGATTGTTATTTTGTTTTGTTTTGCTTTTTAACACAGTGCAATATATTTGCATCCTTTGTATTTGCACTTGCCCTTTCCCTGTTTAGCATAACACAGTGGAAAGTGCAACAGTTCTTGAAGCTACAAAACCAAGTACTTCTTGCAGAACACACGTCCGTAGGATTATCATCTTTTTTTCTTAAGGTATTGGTAAGGCTTCCCCTTTAATCGTAAGAAAGCGTATCCATTCTGGAAAAATTACATATGAAACAATATGCATTCTGTGTTAAACTGACACCATTTCCATATTTATTCATCTCACAGAACTAAAGTACATTAAAGAAACATGTATGTAGCAGAATAAATTATATTACTTTGATCATCGTTCACCCCATTGACTGTGAACTCACTGGGAACAGGAATTGTCTTTAACTTATCTGTGTGCCTGCAACAGTGCATGATACTGCCTTATGGGGACTCAAAAAGTATTTGTTGACTTAAATTAAATTATTTGTTCTGCTGTATAATAAATATAAATCTGTACTATATGGAAGGTCCTGAATATGAAGATTAAAAAATGTAAACATGGCTTCTCCTGGCCCCCTTTTCTGTCGGTACCTGCCTCTTAAAATCATTAAGTACTAAATTTAGAGATTACGTGCTATTACACACTTACCTCTGTCAACCATGTTGAGACATGTTCTGATGCTTCTTAGAGATTAAGCCCAGTCTGTGTAAAATTCTACCAACTTTGTCTCCATTTCACTGGTCAATCATTATTACTAAGAGAAAGCAGTAGGGTTTGCAAATCAAGTAGTCAGTTTTGTTGTGCTGTATTGATTCAAGTGGTGGAAATAGTTCCTTCTTTCAGCAAGGAAATTACAACTTCAGCTAGTGGAAAAGAAAAAAAAGAAAAGAAAAGAAAAGTGGAACTACCCATTATTAAATTCATTTTTGTCACAAAGCAATTACAATGGAAATATATTTCCTTATTTAATTCTTACCTTGGACAAAAGGCATTTAATTTTCTATAGTTGAGACAGTTGCTAAGTATATGACTTATAATTGTCATAGTAGTGATGTATCACTACCATTCAATAATTATTAGATCTAAGGCATTGTACAACAGATCACTCAAGTGAAAGGGGGATAAATATAAGTTCCATCTTTCTTCAGAATGTAAAAAGGCTTCTGCAGAACCCCAAAGTGACAGAGTTTGATGCTGCCCGCCTGGTGATGCTTTATGCTTTACATTATGAGCGACACAGCAGCAATAGCCTGCCAGGACTAATGATGGACCTCAGGAATAAAGGTGTTTCTGAGAAGTATCGAAAGGTAACCAGTTTCCATATTAGCCCACCAAACAGGAACCAACTCTGTTATTATATTCTTACTTTAACAAATGATAAATCATATTATTTTTATTTACAGAAATGTATAAATCTGTATTTTCATTTTTGTTTGCTTAATAAAATTATTTTCTTATGAAATGGGCTTCCTGATCCCTAAGCAATCAAAATTTGCTTCTCTTAATAGCTCGTGTCTGCAGTTGTTGAATATGGTGGTAAACGAGTCAGAGGAAGTGACCTCTTCAGCCCCAAAGATGCTGTGGCTATCACCAAACAGTTCCTCAAAGGACTGAAGGTATAGACATCTCCTCTATGCTCTCCTAAGTGAGAACAGTCGAAGCCCCTGAGGCTGAGAGTGAATGAATATGATCTTCAAAGTATCTTGAAGATTGCTGCTAATTTAGTACTATGTCAATTAAATGAAATTAAAACTGACATCCTCTTGAAAGCTTTTTCTTTTAGTGCTTTCTGTATTAGAACTGTATCAGCATTGGACCAAATAACTGGGCGGGAAATAACTGGAGATATTTCCGGGAAATACTCAAGAAGAAAAAGACAAATGGTTCTGATAGTCACAGATATTTTACTCCATTTGTTTATAATTAAAGATTTGTTAGGTAGTTTCTTAAGGAAATTAAAGATGAAGCAAACATTTGATCTTTTAAAAATACTTAACTATTTTCTTAAAATACTCAAAAATTAATTCTAATCTGCTAGCCTTTCTTATGTTTCCTGAAGTTTTTCTGTTTTCCTGGGTATTTCCAGTCTTTTTTGTACATTATCCTTTCCTTTTATTTGCTCTACCTATCATTTAACATTTTCACAGAAGGGTAAGAGGCAGTGAAGATATGATAAAGGATTTAAGCAGTCCCATTTTTAAAAATTCCTTTACAATAACTAGCCCTAAATTACAGAGTAATTTTTATGAGATTAGAACATTTCTGACTGATTAAAATAATTGTGAAATTTACCACAGTTCCTATTTAAATCTATCCCATGAAATCTCTATTGAGTGTATATCCTTTTCTGATATGAATATTACTAATTCTTGTATTGCTAGTTTCCCAAAAATGACATAAGAACCATTTTCCCGTTTTAGGGAGTAGAAAATGTATATACACAGCATCAACCTTTCCTACATGAAACGCTGGATCATCTCATCAAAGGAAGGCTTAAGGAAAACCTATATCCTTATCTAGGCCCCAGCACACTCAGAGACAGGTAAGCTAACAAAGATATTAATAATAAAAGCTAGAAACACTGAACAAATAGAAAATTTAGAGTAATGTTAAGCACTAAAGCTGAGGTTATAGCATTCTTCTCCTTTCTTCTGTTAAGATTCTTTTGGTTTTACATATGTCAGTATTAGATATGAATTCCTCTGCTAAGTCTGAAACATTTATTTCTTTTGTACTAAAGAAACAAGTGTTTTGGAGTGCCTCAAATCCTTCTGTACTTCAGTATCAAACCAGTTTACTTATGCCAATTAAGGTTCTGTTCGATGGCATCTGGCATTTGGTGTTTCAAACGTTAAGGCCAAAAATAGACTTGCTGCCTGATTGCCCTCCAGAGCAGGTTGTTACTATTTTTACTGAGGACTGGACTTTGCCAAATGTTGCCAGCACACAAACTGAGAGACCTAATTAATAAAGTACATTTGTTACACAGGAGCAAAGGATGGCTTTCTTTTTGAGTATTAACTAAAGGAAGCAATAATTGTCATCTTAATCCAGTGGTTAATTTTTAATAAAAACAAAACTTATCCAGAACAACTTATTTAGGCCAACCCGAAATTTTAAATATTGTATACATAAATTCTACCTAGTTAAAAATTATATTGTTATATTTCTTAGTTGGACCACATGTTATCTAAAGGGGCTAACATATATACTTGAATCCTATTGGATAGATTAATGTGAAAATTTTACTGTTGACATAATTGTTCTATTATTTCAGTTAATAAACATCTAAGAGCCTTGGAAGTATAGTGTTTTATAAACATAATGAGATTCTGAATGGGAAAAATGTTCTGAGATACGTAAATGACTCTTTTATGTGATAAAGTATATTTTTTCACGTTGTCCTTTAAAAAATTTTTTTCTGTAATTTGGTACAGAACAGGAAAAAAAAATCATCTTTTAAAAGTCCAAGGTTGAGAGGCAGAACATTTGGTGTTAAATTCAGAGACACTCATTCAGATAAAATGTTTAAGGACCTTGGGATCAAGATCCAGAATTGTCAGCTAAGTGGGAAGAATGAACGCCAGCCCAAAGTTATGCACCTATCTGAGAGGCTTTTTAAAAAACATAACTATTCTTGAACTTTCACATTAATGTGATAAATAAAAACATTAATTTGCTTATGAATTTATATAAGAATTACTGAACAAGAAATTAGCTATTTATTGCCAAAGGGAAACCATAGGCCACCAGAAGAATGTACTGTGCGTGATCAGTACACAGCAGAAAACCTTTCTAATTTACATAATTCATTCCCACACAAAGCTCAAAATTATATTCCTTGAACAAAATGCACATTTATCAGTTGTCAACATCTGTTACCATTTGTCACTATAACCTAAGTATGCATATAGTTAATAATTCAGTTGCTTTGTCCTTTTATACAACAGATGTTGATTGAATGCTTTCAGTATGTCAAGAGCTGTTGTAGATGCTGGCGATATAGAAGTGACAGGAAAGACAAGGTACCCGCCCTCAAAGAACTTACATAGAGACAATGAGTAAACAAGTAAACTAATGAAGAATATAATTTTACTAAGTGCTATCCAGGAAATAAATAGGGTAATAAGCTTCAAAGTAATTGTAGGGGTGGGGAGGACTACTTTAGATGGAGAGAGAACCTATCTGAGAGGTGATATTTAAGATGAGCTTTGAGTCATAAGAAAGAACCAGACCAGGCATGGTGGCTCACGCCTATAATCTCAACACTTTGGGAGGCCAAGGCGGGAGGATCACCTGAGGTCAGTAGTTTGAGAGCAGGCTAGCCAACGTGGCAAAACCCCGTCTTTACTAAAAACACAAAAATTAGCCTGGCGTGGGTGGCAGGCGCCTGTAATCCCAGCTGCTCATGAGGCTGAGGTAGGAGAATCACTTGAACCTGGGAGGTGGAGGTTGCAGTGAGCTGAGATTGCACCATTGCCCTCCAGCCTGGGCGACAGAGTGAGACCCCATCTCAAAAAAAAAAAAAAAAAAAGCAATAACACGATGATTAGGAGAAAAAGCATCCAAAGCAGAGAGAAACACCAGAGCAAAGGTCTTGAAGAAAGAGAGAATTTGGCAAGTTAATGAAACATAAGGGAGCCCTACTTGGCTGGAGCATAGTGAATAAGGAGGAAATAAGAGGTTGAAAGAGAGGCAGGGTTGGAGCACATCGGTTCTCGACGACCCTAGTAAAGAGGTTTTTTTTTTTAATGTTATGGGAAGCCATTGAAGAGTTAAGCATATGAGTAACATGAACTTAATTGTGTTTTAAAAGATCATTTGTGGTGAGAATGGATTATTGAAGGCAAAAATAGAAGCAGAGAGACTACTAAGGAGGTAACTGCAGTAGTCCAGGTGAGAAATGGAAGTGGTTTGGGTAGGAGGCCAAGAGAGAAGCCAGAATCAATAGACATATTTAATGACACAGATTTATGGAACAAAGATAATAGAGAAGTCAAGAATAACTCTCAGGCTTTGAGGAGAAACAGAGTTTTGTTGTTCAGTTGGCGATGCCTATTAGATAACAAGTAGAAATGTCACATATTGAGAGTCAACAAAAATATTAGTAATATTAAAACCATGGAACTAGATAAGATCACTTAGAGAAAAAGCATAGAAAAGAGAAAATAAGAGAGCCCGGAACTAAGCACTGAGTAGAGAATAAGGAGCCAGCAATGGAGACTGAGGAGGAAGCAGAAAGGTAGGAGAAAAACCAGCAAAGCGTGGTGCCATCAAGAGCAAGTGAGTAATAAACTGCATCCAAACTCTGAGAGGTAAAGAAGGTGAAGAAAGTAAAGAATCCATCTAATATGGCAACATGAAGGTCTTTGATGATATTCTCCCCTGGTTTCAGTGAGGTTGGAAGCCAAATTAGAGGAGTTAACAAGATATAAGATAAATTGGAGACACTTAAGAAATTTTGTGGCCAGGCGCGGTGCTCACGCCTGTAATCCCAGCACTTTGGGAGGCCGAAGTGGCCGGATCACAAGGTCAGAAGATCGAGACCATCCTGTCCAACATGGTGAAACCCTGTCTCTATTAAAAATACAAGAATTAGCTGGGTGTGGTGGTGTGAGCCTGTAATCCCAGCTACTCGGGAGGCTGAGGCAGGAGAATCGCTTGAACCTGGGAGGTGGAGGTTGCAGTGAGCCGAGATTGCGCCACTGCACTCCAGCCTGGTGACAGAGTGACATTCCGTCTCCAAAAAAAAAAAAAATTGCATAAAGGAGGAAGAGAAATGGAGTGGTATCTAAAAGAAATTGTGGGCTCAAGAGAAAGAGGTTCTGGAGCATATGTGTAACCCAATGAGAATTATCCAGTAAAGAAGAGCAAATAGGTAATGCAAAAGAGAAAGAAAGTGCTACAGAAGTGAAGTCCTTAAGGAATCCAGAGAACAAATAGAGGGATTGCCTGTGATAGGTGCAGAGGTACTTTCATTTTAACAGGAGAGAAAGCAATATGTATAGATACAATAGGTTTGTAGTTTTGATGGTGAGAATCTGGGGTCATCATGTCTGATTTTTCTCAGTAAAATATGCCAGGTTACCAGCTAACATAAGGGGTATAAAGAAAAAACATTGTGGAACAGTCATCCTGTAGGCTAGGAATCAAGTTTAGTAGGGAAATATAAGTAGGAGTTCTAGGCAAGGTTGAATGCCTAGAGAGTTTTATGGTCATTGATTTAAAATATAGCCAGTAAGCTTAATTGTGTGTCTTTCCTCTGGAAATTTTGAACCGCTTCAGATTAAACGTGGAAAAGACAACTAGTTGGGTCCAACTAGGATTTGGGGAAATGGAAACAGGAGAGTGTATTGGATCATGAGAAAGGTATTGGTGAATGAATTGGAGATTTGATGAGGCCAAAGAATTATTACAGAAGAGTATTAGTATAGGTAAATTGGAAGCTGAGAGGTAGTTATTGGATAAAGATATTTTGAATTCAAGATTTCATAGGGGGTTCAGAAGAAGTAATGAAGAAGTTTAGATTGTAAGCATGGATGTGGGTGGTTGTAGTGGGTAGAAGAAAAGATCAGGATTGCTAAGGAGACCAGGATGTTAAATGAGTAATCCACAGTGATGTTAAAGTCACTGAAAATCTTGAAAAGAGAAGGAGAAAAAGGAGGACAAGTAAGCCAGAGCTAAAGTCTTCAGGGAATAAAAGTGACCAGGAAAGGAAGTCAGGAAAAAGCGGTGCAACTACATTATGAGCTTCTAAAATAGTGGAAATTTTGAAGGAGGAAGGCAAAGAAATGGTTACAAAACTACAGTGAGTGTCACAGAACATACCTATACCACCTTCTGGCCATGCCTAACAGAAGGAATACTGCAAAGGACTTGAAAATACTCTTATTTGCCAATTCTACTTCTAAAAGCTTACTGTATAGATATTCCTGGCAAGTACACAAAGATACTTAAGCAAGGATGTTCACTGAAGTAATAGCAAAAAAAACTAGGAACAAGCCAAGTATCTATTAATAGAGGGCTGATTACCTAAACTACAGTACAATACTACGTATTCTTTTTTTTTTTTTTTTTTTAATAGACGGAGTCTCGCTCTGTCGCCCAGGCTGGAGTGCAGTGGCCGGATCTCAGCTCACTGCAAGCTCCGCCTCCTGGGTTTACGCCATTCTCCTGCCTCAGCCTCCCGAGTAGCTGGGACTACAGGCGCCTGCCACCTCGCCCGGCTAGTTTTTTGTATTTTTTAGTAGAGACAAGGTTTCACTGTGTTAGCCAGGGTGGTCTCGATCTCCTGACCTCATGATCCTCCCGTCTCAGCCTCCCAAAGTGCTGGGATTACAGGCTTGAGCCACTGCGCCAAGCCTCTTTTTTTTTTTAATGACATAACTCTTCATGGGTGATATGCAAAGCTTTCTAAGATATATTGGATAGAAAAGCAGAATGTTATAACATTTCTTTTCTTTTTTTTTGAGACAGAGTCTTGCTCTGTCGCCCAGGCTGGAGTGGTACCATCTTGGCTCACTGCAATCCCAGCCTCCTGGG